GTTCTACGAAATCAAAGTCTGCTGCAAGTTCTAGGAGGCGCAAGTCTAAATCTAGCGCTAGTTCCAGTCTCTCACAGTCAAGCACCGCTTCAAGTGCAGGGCTGAGAGCCTCTGCTAAGAAAGCTGCCTTGTCAGTGGAAGTAGCTGCATTGAAGACACGGCAGGACATTCAGTTAGAAGAACTCTTGTTGAAGCAGAAGAAAGAGAATTTTGAGTTGGAAACTAAGTTAGCAAAGGCCGACGCTGAAGAAAGGGTGTACAGTTATTGTGAGGAGCGACGTCTGTCAACACTGTCAAGTCAGTTACCGCCTTTACATGCAACCAAGAAGGAGAGCACCGTGGATAAGCCTGAGGGCCAAGAAAGTCATACACTGACACTAGCAGGTCAATTTGCAACCTCCACTCCAGGTCAAGTCGAAGAGAAGGAAACTGTGGAAGCTCCAGTTCATCAGACAGAGGAAAATCAAGAGGTTAAATGCAGTCCACTAAACCCAGACGCCCCTGTATGGAAAGGTTACGGATGCTCACCCTCTGCGATTAATGGTGAAAGTGCTGAAGGTGGATTATTGGAACAACACCTAGATCTAAGTGACAAGAATGTCAGTCACGTGATTGAAGTCCAGAAGATGCAACAACAACAGAATCAACAGCTTCAGGAATTGCTGAAACAGCACCAGCTTCAAACATTAGCCATGACATTGCCACAGCCTGAAATCTCTGTGTTTTCGGGTGATCCTGTTGAGTACTCTGACTTCGTGCGAGCCTTTGAAAATCTAATAGAGTCAAAGACAAGCAGCCCGAACTCACGTTTGTACTATCTCGTTCAATATACATCAGGAGAAGTGAAGGAGTTAATGCAAAGCTGTTTATCGATGGATCCCAAAGAAGGCTACAAGACTGCAAGAGCACTCCTTAAGGATAGATATGGTCAAAGCTACAAAATAGCAACTGCCCTCATTGATCGAGTAACGAAAACTCCTCAGATTAAGTCAGATGATGGTCCTACTTTGCAAAGGTACTCGGTTGTACTTACAAGTTGTAAGAACTCTCTCAAGGAAATTGGATACCTAAACAAAATTGAAAACCCTGACACTCTCCAAAGGATCATTGGAAGGTTGCCACTTTGGCTAAGACAGAGATGGAGAGAAAAGGCTGATTACATCAATGAAGAGCTGAAAAGAGAGGTCACTATCGGAGATGTTGCAGAATTTGTTGAAGCAAAGGCTAGAATAGCCAACCATCCAGTGTTTGGGAACATCCACTCGAATGATGACAAGAACAACGCTGTAGGCATTGGTTCCAAAAGAAGGTACAGAACACCATCAAAGGAGCACAAAGGTTCTGCTTTCACGACACAAGGAACCACCCCGGAAAGTACTACTGACCCACCTAAGGACAACACTGAACGTGCGCCTGACAAGTCGAACGTCAAGTGCCCATTGTGTAAGGAGAGTCATTGGCTGTCACGCTGCCAGCTTTTCAGAGGAAAGTCGGTTGATGAGCGAATTAGTTTTGTGCGTAGTAGAGGACTGTGTGATAATTGTCTTGTTGCGGGACACATGGCGATGTCGTGCCCCAAGAAAAGCTTCTGCCAGATTGTCGGATGTAAGATAGGTCATCGGAAACATTCTACGTTCTTACACCCAAAGAATGACAAACCAGTCAAAGCACCAACTCCATCAGTATCTGAGACCCAGTCGAGCAACACGGAGAATGAGAATCAGAATGGCCAAGCCCGAAGCTGTTTCACTGAAATGGTAGCATGTGAAGGAGTGTGTAGTGCGACTGGGGCCGGAGCATCAGCTACAGGACTTGCCATAGTTCCAGTTAATGTCAGAGCCGAGGGAAGGGAGAAGATGGTTCAAACCTACGCGTTTCTGGATCCAGGGTCGAACACTACATTTTGCACTGACAAGTTGATAGAACGTCTAGGTGCAACAGGTAGAAAAGCGATGCTGTCTTTAACTACCATGGATAGTGATAATGTTAAGAGTGAAAGTCTAGTGGTCAATTTGGAAGTTTCTGATCTGCAAGGACGTAATGTCGTTGAACTGTCAAATGTTTTCTCACGAGTCAAGCTTCCAGTCACCGTTGATGATATGCCGGTTCAAAGTGATGTGGAAAGGTGGTTCTACCTGAAAGATATCGACTTACCTTGCATTGATGCCGACATCGAATTGCTCATAGGTAGTGATGTGCCCGAACTTCTTGAACCTCATGAAGTGCAGAGAAGTGAAGATGGTGGTCCTTATGCCGTGCGAACACTGCTAGGATGGACCATCAATGGCCCACTCGGTAGGGCAAGTAAGGCAGCCCGTACTTCAAACCGTATCCAGTCTCATGTTGTCTTGGACCAGCAGTTTGTACGTTTCTGTGAAATGGAATTTAATGATTCGCAGTTCAGCATTGAGAAAGGATTGTCTCAAGATGACAAGAGAGCCCTTGCCATAATGGAGGATTCTGCTGAGCTCTGCGGTGGTCATTACGAGGTTGCGCTTCC